AATTTATTCACATCTTTACATATTCATCGACAATTAAGATGTACTGAAACAGTGTAAACCAAACCCTGAGAATGAAGGGCATTATTTTCTCTTCAAACTATTCTTCATTCTTCATTGCCCCCCCCCTCCCATATTGGGGGAAGGAGGTATCTTTTATCTTTGAATCCTCTGCACTACAACATACATGCCTGTGTAAACTAGAAAGGTGTCTAGAACACTTATCAGATGTATGTATTTATTTTGACTTACAGGTTATTATCCTTGATGTGCGGGTACCTTGCACACCAGTAGCAAGACTTAACAATCACAGAGCATGTGTTAACGGCATTGCATGGGCACCGCATTCATCGTGTCACATTTGTACAGCAGGTGAGGCCAACTCTTCTCATTATCAAATTATGAAAACCACTTTAAGTTCAAGAGAGAATTTACGTTCATTAATTCGCAGGGATAACATAAAATGTTTGTAGCAGTTCATTTTGTATGTCTCGAAGGCTGCAAGTCATGCTAAGTTTTGAAAAAATTCTTAAATTTATTAAATGCAGTCATACATTATGTTAGAGAATTTTTACAGATGCATTACAACTTGAAAGTTTTCGCACGACTACAGCGTCTTCCAATGATTCTGAATCATTTGCATAAAAGACGAGCGGATATGATCATTATTTTTTAGTTTTCAGTGTTTCTAATTGGTGTTCAGTAAATAATGAACAATTTTTGAACCGATTTAACAGATATGTCAATTTCTATACAACTAATTTGTAATTCCTCATTGCATGCTTACCTGTTAACATATACTGTCATCTTGGATACAGTGGGAAATTTATCTACTTTTCATTTAACTTTCAGCTGATGACCACCAAGCATTGATATGGGACATTCAACAAATGCCACGTGCCATAGAAGACCCAATTCTAGCGTACACCGCTGAAGGAGAAATCAATCAAATACAGTGGTCATCAACGCAACCAGACTGGATCGCCATTTGTTACAATAATTGCCTTGAAATTCTCAGAGTATAAACAAAAATAGACAAAGAAAATATATTGTTCTCAAGGACCGCCTCTGATTCTTCCTTTTAATATACAATTTCTTCCGTGGTTAGACAAGTTTAACATGCGTAACTCACCATGTTGGGTGTATCGTTTGCATTAGCTGTTAACAGGACCTCCCTGTGTGCAATGGTACAAGAACATTAGCTAATCATGTCTGCATTTCTTTCCTCCAAATTTCTGTATTCCAGGAGCCTCCAACTGTAAATATTTTTTTAAATGCAGAAATAAATTATTTTAACTGCCACCTCGATGGAAAAAAATAATACTTGTAATGATTCCCACATGTTTCAGCATTAAAGCTCCATGTGTAGTTGAGTTTCCTTTTTATTTAAATTACAGAAATGCGTAGTGGATTTTTACGGAAATTGACATACTATGTTGCCTTTGTTAGATTTGTTTACTTTTGTTTTAATATAATTAGGGACAATGTGGCAGAGGCTGGTAATTACTCTTTGCATATTAAGAAGCTACACAACCCTCTCCTCTTTCAAAAATGGATTTGTATTTAGGGAAAATAAAACACGCTTCTGTTAATGAGATTGGTGCTTTTCAGCTTCCTTGTGAGAAGGGGAAAATTATGCGTTTATTTCCTTGGGCAGTTTGTTGTGAAAGTTGGTCAACATTTTTAATTAACCTGTATCGTATATATGTCTAGTAGGAAAACGTCTTCAATGACAATGGATCTAACGTAACAATTGCAGCATTCTCCTTCTATAGTGGGAATGGTGGCCATCATGACATCAATTGTTAATATAATACAATGTTGACACTCAGTTTAATTATTACCAAGTAGAATACAGTAATAACCAGCGAATCCTTATTAGTGTCTAAGTAATAGTTACAGTGAATTTCTTCACTTATCCCTGCATCCTCGATGGTCTTGCGCATTACAGTTGTGCTCCTGTCATCAGTCTGACCTAAGTTGGATTTGGTTTTTGTGAGTGAGACGGTGGATAGTAAGACGAGTTTTGAATACTGTCACTTTGACCGGGTTGCGTTATCTCACTGGTGTTATCGTCGATTGGCAATATTTGTGTGCCAAAAAAAACTATAGACTTCTATTGTTGGGGATATTGTAATGTGGTTTGGTCACCACACTGGTCAAGTTGGGCATTTTAATATCATTAGTAATGGGACAAAACAGAAATTACAAAAAGGCTGCAGGTTTTTACTTAGTATATAAGAAGACATTAACTTTTTGGTCAAAATGAAATGTGTTTAAATCAGTTTCAGGGTGTGTTATTTTCATTGCAATCAAGACTTGGTATGTTTATCTTGTTTCGTCTTGTGATTTTCCTTCATATTACATATCTTGATAAGATTTAGATTATAATTAGGAGTTTTACAGATTTCCTCCCCAAAGTTTGTAGCCTTGTAGTTTTACAGACTATTCCCCCCCCCCCTCCCCCAAGTCATACTTCTTTGTTGGTATATATATTTAAGTAGTCTAGGATTTCAGTGGGGGTATGATTATTAAACTAACCAGCAATAGTTAAAAGGATTCTGTGGTGCATTTGAACTTTTAAAAGAAACTGTATTTGCATATCATTAACTTACTAATTGTTTTTGAAGTATAGTTCTATAATGCCAGTATGTCTGCACGTCTGTCTTTATATGGTCATTGTATTGAGAATATTGGTATTCAGCCATTGTTTACTAGCTTTAATGTTTGTTTACTTCACGATTCACAATTATTACTGTTTTGTATATTTAATTAAGAATTTTGTTTTTGAAAATATTATTAGGACTCCCTAACTTACTCTAACTGTATTAAAAGCAGAATAGTCGTCTAAACAATGTTGTTGTTTTTTTGCAAACATTGGAACAAGTCGTGTATGACATGAAGTACTGTTTCCTATTGTGATCTTATCTCAATTTTTTTGCCCGAAATATTTGTTTACACTATCCTTAAATTTGTTATCAATTTCTTGAGTTTTGACAAGAGTATTCTGGTAATAATTGGGATAAATGGACATGGTCAATGCTCTACATCGCTGTTGATATGGGTGCCATATGGCATGTACAACACATGTAAAATTTAAATGTGTGCTGGGCAGGGTGAATAATCACTGGCATTCCATCATTTGGATGATTCAGCAAAACACGACAGTCAACCCAGTGATGCTGTCGTTTTGAAAAACTACACAGTAGAAAATATGTGGTTACAACAAATAGATTTTATCTTGTGTTTTGTTTAGCAACAGTGTCCACATTTTGGGCATGGTTTGTTAAAACACCACAGTAAGTGTCCCATGCAACAGGCATGACGAATTGTGCTTTAACATACCGTTTCTTTATTTTCCAAAGTTTATAATAACTGTGATCAGCCACTCAGTAATGTTTTAAATACATATGTATATATACTTCAGTGAATCGTTAATTCTACACATTATTAAAAAAAAAAATAATGGTACTTTATACTATATTGCTGCCTTAATATAGATAAATTTATTTTTGGGAAAAATGTTTCCTATGTCACATTTATTTTCATAATTACTGCAGACTGCCTCTGCAAATAATTGTATTGTACATTGTAACCTTCATGTTGAATCAAATGCAGCACTTTAAATTTTGGTAAAACCTTTCAAAAAAATGCAAGCAAAATTAATTAAAATATTTTGTTTGATGACATGCCACCAGCCATTCAAGAAATGTCTGTGTCAGTTTGACTGAAATATAACTCATTCATGACTAGACTGCCTTTGATTAGCTGTTGCCAAAACTGTAATATCTATTAAAAGGTATTTAAGGTTAAAATTGTTGCATCTATTTGCATTTACGCACAACCGTTGCCCAAAGAGAAAGAATGTGATGGTTTAGTCAACAATACAATTATTTGCTGTTGATTAATATTCCAATTTACTTTCTATGAATTTTGCCTTCAATTTTTAAAACTGGTCACATTGTATATGGTAAAGTAGTCTAAGATTTGTTTTGTTTTTTAAGTGCCTAATAATCTTCAAAGGTTGTATTGTTATAATATACATGCATTCATTCATTAAGCTAAGACATTTTTTGCTAGGGTATTTAAACCTGCATAAAATTTGTATTTTATAAATAAGTTTACGTAAATATGGATTTTTTTTCTGTAGCTTGTACGTTTTTTCTGTATAATATGTTTGTGATTGTTTAAATAGATAATGAAATGTGTAAAAACTTTAGAGAAAGGAAAATATTCAAACTAGCTGCCAAAGTTTATTGGGCGTTAAAACAATGTACTAGATGTATTACAATACATTGACTGACATAGACTTAAGTTATCATTTTGAATTTAATATTAAGTGAATGTTTATTTATCACATTCTAATGTTTCAACCTATTTTGTACTAGATTCTACTCATCTTTTCACTTTGTAGTCTCAGTCATGACAGTCTGGTATCCGATGACCTTAATCAATTGATTGATTGATTGATTAATTGATCTGATGTTCCCATTTTTGCCATTGTGACACCACATGAACAAACTCTTAGGACTGCGCCATTATAAATAAAGCTGCACTCAGAAATCATTCATAAAGATTTTTGAGAGACTGACTTACGAATTGATTTTAAGAGTTTATTGGTTTAAAATTTATAATAGTGTTACTATGTGCATGGATTTATGCATCTCAGAGGTGTATCTTTAGATTGCTCCCACAATTCAAACATATTTATGTCTCGTTTCACTCAAGTTCCAATGTCCCAATGAATCTGTATGAATGATCTTGGAGTGCAACATGAGTGAGTGGGAGGGTGTGGTTGGCCGGAGTGTTGAGGAATAAAAAGTTCTCACTGACTTTGAATTGTCAAATTTTTAACAAAAAAACTTACATAATGAATAATCAATATCAAACCATTCCCCCTCCAGAGTTTGACAAGGCAATCTGCTTGTCTACATCCTAGAGTTGAAAGAAAAGAGTTAGTGGGTTTAGTTGTTTCTCAAAAGACCCCATAATTATTACAGTAGTGTTGTCTTGTATGTTTTAATATGTGTATTTACCATGTAATGTTGACGTGTACACAATTTTTTTACATTATAACAATATTATATTATTTTATCTATAGTGTTTCTTTGTTTTGCTTTTTAAATAGTTGTAATCTTTTCAAAACTCAGGAGCATTCATCAAATTAGGTCCCTGCTGCTACTTTTTACCGATAATTTGTTGCTTTCATTTAGGATTCCATGAGAGAAAAATTGGCGGTGTTTTTATTCCAAAAATGAAGGGAGAAGTTAACAGACAATGCTGCTTTGAAGTTTCAGTGATTCCAAGATGCAAGCAATCAATTCACCTTGTAATTAAACAAGGAATTTTAACATATTCTGTCTAAAAGTTTTTAGCTGAGATTGATGTTACTCAATTTGGAACAATGAACTTGGTGCTACAAATGCAGAGTTGAGCATTGTTGCTTTTTGGGTTCAACAGGCCAGATAAATATAAAATTTGTTCACTGTTTTCAAATAAACCCTCAGAAAGTTTTAAATCAACAATTTGTGCTTGTTTTAGTACTTTGTGTTTTTTTCTTCTGCAAGGTTTGTCAATTCATCACTTTTACCCAGGATTTTCTGATTTTGTCAGAAATTGTCACAAAAATGGTGAAAAGTCCCAAATCCTGCAGAACAAAAAAACGCAAATGATAAAATTGGTCACAAGTAGATGGTGGGCTCGGATCTTGACTCAATTCGGTACATTTGCCGTCTTTATCAATGGGACTCGTAAACCCAGGAAAAAAATAATTCTGATTTTGTTGGCGTGCCTGCCCCAAAAAATTTGCACCTCAAATGTCTTTTGAAATCAAAATACATTATGTTTGGCCTTGTGAGGGTGCAATTGCTTGCTAATGGCACAAATGTTGCCAAGTTGTCAATGGCAACAAGTGGAGTGTAATTTACAGTGAAAATACTTCTCTTTTCAATCATAATTAGTGTTTATATTGTATTGGTTGTATGCATCAACTCTCCCAAACTAAAAATCCAACCAAACAAGAAACTGACTTTGTAAACTGTTATTGTGCTATGTTAAGAATACACCAACGAATCTTTGGCCACTTTATCACTTGTATATTTTGTGTGAATTTTTTAGCCAGAGAAACTTGTGTACACCATTTTATGCCCTGAGTTAGCCGTGCTTTCCGGTATCATAGATAACTCAAAGTCTGTGTTGTATTTGTCTGATTAGAAGGTTTTAACATTATTTTTTTGTTTGTTTCAATTTTACATGTGAATCTCCGATAAATTTCTTACTCAGAGTAATAATTATTCTATTTGAGACTTGTATTTTTCAACATTTGAAATTAAAATATCTACGGTAAATTAAGCTTGTTTTTATATTAATTCTAGTCAGATTTGTGTGAAAATTGCAAAAACACTTCCAAAAGCAGGCATTTTAGAACTGAAATCCAAACAAATAAAACATTTTTTTTATACCAATACAAGTTTTTGATATTTTGGTGAGTGAACGATTACATTAAATTAAAAATATTGTAAAAATAAAGTTTGGAACCCTTAACTGATTTCCATGGAAATTAATACTTTATGATTTTGCATGTAGCAATAAACTCTCATTTTGGTGGCCATTTTGAATTGAAATTTGGTCAAGATACATGTAACTGAAGTTCATAACTCAAAAACTAGTTACCAACATTTTTTCTTCAGACTTTCAATTAGTTCCAAGAAAATAACTTGTCAAGTTTTGGAAAATTCCCGTGTGAAAAGTGTTTGTAATTAAGTCGTGCGTGTTCCTTATGATATGGATTCTGTGAAGTCATTTTGACATTTGAAAATGAATGAATCAGAAAATAATTGCGTTTCTCCCATTAGTGTATCATTTCCTTGAGTTGTGTCCATTGCATAGCGCCCCCTCGCGTCGAAAACAAAAAACAAAATCAAATCTATACATCAGGGAACAGTTTTTGAAATCCGTCCGCCAGCCCAGAACCTGGTTGATTTCCTGTTTTCTCTGTATTAATCTGGAAACATTGCCTTGATTATGCTCATCGGCTTGGTAAATGTGTTCCAAGGTCAAAAAGAATGGGATTGTCGCATTGTTTGTTCTGTTGATACAAGGGTGATTTCATTTAAACTTTGTATCATCATGCATATTTTTGTATTGGGCGGTTATTCTCTGATTTGATCCTAAGTTGTAAAATTCCGCGTCCTGTTCGATATGGGACTCGTAGCGACGTACACAACGCGTGTAAAATACTGTAAAATGACTAATATTCACTGGGTTTAAATTTCACTGATTTACCATTTCAGGCATATTCAGTGGGTTTTAAATTCACGGTTTCGTCATTTAGATAATGTGTTCTATGCTAAATTTTACATATTCACTGTGTTTTAATTTAGCGCATTTTTCCAGTCAGCGAAATAAGCTAAATTAAAACCCAGTGAATAATTACCCTCTTTACAGTACATTGTTTAAATGAAATTCGATCACATGCTGCGCGACGTCCACCACCATTTAAAGCATACAGTTGTACAGCATATTGCGAGAGATACTAGTATACGGACCGTGACTGTATTACGATCTGATCCAATTTATAACCGTTTTTGGAGAAGAGTTACTGCTCGAGTTGGTTAAAAGAACTTTAAAAAGAAAACCAATTAAAAAATTGCATTATTTACTTATTTTTTCAAAATTAAAGGCCAAAGGATGTAATTGAACAGCCAGAACTTGTGGGATGTACAGTTCCATACCACCGTACATGAATACATGACAGATTTAGAAATAGTAAGTCCTGGCTAGGCCATTCTGTTTTTTTATTATTATTTTATTTATAGTTAGATACAAAAATGGCGAAAATTTTAAATTGTCAGAAAGAATAGGCATGTCTTCAAACCGCGGTTCTGCAAGCCTAAATTATTGTTATCTAGTTTAAATGTCTACATATGTCAAAACATATATACTGACTGAGGTGACGATAGTTCAGCATACAGTGCATAGATGTGTTACTAAATCAACCGGGTAGGCTTTTTCATTGAAATTCTATAAATATATTGTGTACTTTTCGATATCAATAACATACAACTCATATACATGAACAACAGTGACAAAGTTTACATTAAAAGGTGAAACAAATACTTGAGTATTTGCCATGCAAAGAAATGTAAAAGAAGAAGTCAACGGTTTTCGAAATTTGGAGAACGGCGAATTTCTTTCACAAACGGTCGTAAATGGCGTGATGATTTCAATGCACTTTTCTTTGTGCTGAATATCTGTCCATATTTTATCGGATTTGAAATTGTTTGGTTGGATATATAAATAGCTGTCACTGTTTTGACAGGATTTAAATTGTCTGGCTATTTGAGAATCGAAACACATTTTACTGGTTTGTAGGTATGTATTAAGAGCGGTATTTCCTACACTACGCACATTTTGGCCACGTCCCAGAACTACTTGACAGAGTTAATTGTGTCCATGGTAAGCAATACCTGAGACGACCGGAAACACGTTGAAATGGGAAAGATCAAACTAACCATCCGGACCAGACATTGTGCATATTCGAGCCGAGATGTCGATATATTCGTCAAATTGATCAGCGGGACTGGAGGAACAGAAGTCATTAAACTGGAGGTAAAAGTGCATGGATATATATAAAAAAAAAAAACTTAAAAACATTTGTATTCGTATTTCGTGATACTTATGAAATTGGTGTCGCCTAGACAATAAAGGACAGCCGTCGAGGTACTCGGCTCGCTCAAGTACAGCCGTTGTGAATCATTTTCAGTACGTACATAGAAACGGTTTGGAAACTGTCTGCTATGTATATCAGATAAATTTCTAAGAGTGATTACTAGTATTTTTTTCAAATTTTCGCTTATAGCTTGAATATCAGAGCTTTTTCGTTCTACATTTCGAAACCAGCTCAGCGTCACGATCGACGTGTAGTGTGTTTCGAAATTCAAGCAAATAGTACACGGCTTGTACACGTATACGTGGGTTTTCATTTATTAGTAGACATCTAACGTTTGCTTGTATTATTTGATGACAAGCGAATAATAATATATTCCATCGCTGAGTATCGAAAATTGAATATTTTTCCGTAACACACGGTGTGGTGGACAGTATGCGACACAGATTCTTGAAACTTGAAGGAGAGACAATTATTTACAAATGACGTTGAAATTCTTACTTACGCTGTCAGTGTTTTGTATTGATTTTATTTGTAGTCAGCCGGTCTCAGAAAAAAAAGTAACAGTAACATGTAGTTATAGAAAACTACAGCCATATAAAGAGACAATGGAAGAGATTCGAAATAACGACAACGGCAAAACGCGCACCGTACTATGCAACACAGAAATATAAGTCACTAAAAAGTAGTTGGGGTGTTAACGTAACTTGATGTCAATACACGTAATGTAATTGCCAACCATTTGGTTTTAAAATATTACCGTCTATCACGTGATTCATTGTAGCTGTCTGTCCCAGTTAATGAACTCTGGTGACATGTCATGAATTAGTTTTCGCGTATCTGTTGACCGACTTATTTAGCTGATTACTAGTGAATGGCTGTGTTATATCTGTCATCATTTAGGCTCATGCGAGGTCCTGGACGGAACTTGACTTTAGTGATTTGGAACTAATAACGATATACTAGTAACCGTCGCCAACCGGACCGCTATTTCTGACAGTTGGTATTTGCAGTTAGTAATATAGTGAACGATTAATCAAAAGATATGACGTGTTCAGTGCTTAGTGTGATTGGCTATGTGCAAATTGAACTTGAATGTGTGAAGGTTACGCCCTATGTATTTAAACTGCTTTGTAATTGGTTAAGTTTTGATAGGTAATAAACAGTCTAAGTCTTTGGTCACGGGGAGAGAGAGAGAACTCCACGAGGCGAGAGAGTCTTGGAGAGTGAGGCAGTTTGCCTCGAGGCGTTCTCGATGTGGCTAAAGAATAACTATTGAAACCTATTTCGTTTTGTGCGTCTATTTGACTGTAAAGCTTAAGTGACTTTCCCGGTCCGGTATCTCAAGCAGACGAGATAGAGACCAGACGAGAACCCCCCCCCCCCCCCCATGACAGACATGTGCGACACTGGGCGTTTACTCCTACATCAGAGCACAATGTTTATACTATAATACTGTAACTTTATTACATTATTCATTTTGAATATAACATAATCAAATACTATTCTAAGAAACAAAACAAAAATAACAAAAAACAAAGGAAAACAAAAAATGATGAAAATAAATATACTGTTAATACTGGTTTAGAAAATAGTTCGTTGAACCAAGCAGCATGTTCACTCCAGCTATATCGCATGTTAGAAGTTAGTGACTCATTCCTAAAATCTGATTAAAATAGATTCTAGTCTGGGCGTTGCTCATCTTTTTCCATAGTTATTTTAAAAAAATGTATTCAATCATTTATTTTTATATGTATTTAATTATATGTTTTATAGCATTTTTTAAAAAAACTGGTAATCGCGAAACCCTACAGGGGCCTGACCCAACGCACATACTAGAAATTTAAGTTACAAACCCCGTTCATATCTCGTTTAAGCTACAGCTAATCACAGCTAGCTTTACATAAAAGTTGATAGTTTGATCACAGGAGGAAATAGTTAAGATTGATTGTTGCGTTGTGTACTTGGTCGTGGGTTTCTGCTTGAAGACGAATTTCCCAATAAAAAAAACAAGTTGGCTAGCGGAAATTTTTTTAGTTGATTTTGAAGACTAAAATTCCTGCGTCATCGGCAATTTGCACATGCTTTAGTGCCAAAGAAAAGCACGAGTACGGTCCTGGCTTCTTAGTGGCGAGTGTCAACAAATGGTGGAAATTAGAGAATGATTTCTTGGTAGGAAAACTATATTAAAGCGGTGGAGTCGTCACCTGCGCATGCGTCAGATGGCCATTGTTTACAAACAAGCGTCTACCCACAAGCCTGTGCGTTTTTAGCGTGTGTTGTTACCGTCGCTTGGGACTCAAATTCCGCGCGTGCGCAGGTAACGACCCTCCCGCTTTGGTAGTATATTTGTACACAGTCCCTCTAGATAGAGGGACTGTGATCTGTATTTTAGGCCAGACTTTTATTATCCCTTGTTTCGCGAACCCACCTAATGAACAGGAGCCGAAAATGAAATAAAAATAAAATTTTATTTCAGCGTAATTTCACGCGCCCGCCGACTTGTAAGCGCAAACAAATGCTAAAAAATATTATTTTTATCTTCATTTTGTTACCGCCCACCGCATAACAAATCCAAGTTGCATTTTCATGGGGGTATCATGATCAAAGTACCAAAGTCTCGAGCAGATGAGAAACAAAGTTATACATGGAATACAATTTTATTTCATTTCTTCTCTCCGAT